GCTTACATGGATGAAAAGGGACAGTCGGGATCAAATGATGACTGTCAGTGCTACCATAAGCGGCTTACGATGGATTTCAGGAAACACTGCCAAGCACTGGAAGGATTCAACCCTTACGGGGCACATTGCGGATCTCCGGGCGCCCCAAGCACCAAATTTTGCGTTTCAACTCCTCCTGCCCATAATGAGGGCGGCCCGTGAGTTGGGGGCGCGGCAAGGGCTGACCATCGCGGAAGGGCGGAGATCAAAGCCGCACTACGCCGCCGCTGACGTGCAGAATCGAAGCGCGCAGCTTCAACATCGGATGGAGGAAGCGAATAACCACTTTTCGGCACGTGCGTCCAACACTGCGGTGGCGGACGGTCTTCTTGCGGGGCGCGAACGCCATTTTGAGACAACCCCAGGAACGAAAGGCACGCATCGGCGCCTTGGAAGCGCGGCTTGCAGCTTGGGGTGCGGCGATTCGCCCGGACAGCGAGGTGTCCCCTCTTCCAGGAGAGGGCCGCCAGATGCACCCGCGCACGGGTACGAAAATAGCGCAACGACACCGCCCCACCACGAGCGTTTGATGGCCAGGGACGCGGCTGCACCCACAATTCCCCAACCCAGTTTCACGGGAGAGCGACGGCGGGACAATACTCTTGCGTCATTGGGCACTGTGGGCGAACGCGTTTCCCTCACCCCGTGACTTTGCCCTCTCGATCTCCGGCTTCAGAAGAAGTTTCCGGTTCAAATGAAGAGAATCCGGGTTTTCTTTGAATTTGTCGTCAACACTTGGGTCCCGCGAATTTGGAATGAAGGCATCCCTGGAATCCTATTCGAAATCCGGAGCGCTTACGATTACGGGCACCGAGGGGACGCTCACGCCCGAATCGCCTTTGGCATTTCTGGTTTCGTGGATGCGCGTAGCGGTTACATCGGGAACCCAACAAGCAGTTCATGGACTTGGGCGGGATCATACCGCAGGTCTTCCGGATGCAGATCGTGATTAAATCCGACCCCAGCATCCCGATCCAAAAACTACGTGACCGCCTCCATACGGCTTTTTATGAGGATGACACCTTCGCGAGGGTGGCTCGGCCTTTCATGGATCGACGGGAACCCAACGCACTGTGCGATGCCAGCGGTGTCATACCCATGGACACAAGGCATCTAACTGCAACGTGCGCCCCAAAAGGGTTTCTCCGAGCCAAAAGCGAACGTCAGAAAACGGCAAAGGGGCCGCACGCCGCTTATTGAGGCGGACGACGGCGGCCACGCCCATTCCACCACCTCCCACCAATCCCCACACAAGACGTCGCACCGCACCGCCGATGTTCCATCCGATCCTTCGAATCGCCCCACGCAATCGTTAAGAAGCGCAAAGGGGCTTATACGCCAACGACGCTCGACTGTGGTACCGCAAATCACCGATATCTTCGCTCTGTGCCAGCTACATGAGGAGGGCGAACGAGTTGGCTCGAGAGATGTGTGCGCCGTCAACGTAGGAGCCGAGAATGTCACTAGCGGGGCAATTGACGAGCTTTCGCCGCACGCACGCGCAGCCGATCAACGAGAAGAGCTGCCCGGTCATTTTGATGGCAATAGGAGATGTGGCGCCATCGATCCGACCGCAGCACGCCAGGATGCTGCGGTCCATGTCGCAAATGTATCGAACCCCGCCGGACATGGTGATTCTCGGGTTACCAAAAATTGCGGCGCGATCGGAGACGAAGCAGGCGCGCCCCTTGACAACGGAAAAGATGAATCAATTTGTCCGCAGCCGGACCGATTGGAAGCAGTGTGTTGTCTTACGACCTGCGTGGATGACTGCGAGCTTTTGGTCCGACATTGCGGTCTTGACTCCCAAAACATTTTACACTGGAGTCGGACGGGACCATAATTCTGGATTGGCCCGTGGCTCCAAGGACGGCGAGGGCGGATCCCCACCGCGTCCCGCGGTTCGTCCGGATGCGAGGGCAGGATGCGTTCAACACTATAAAGTTATGCGGAACACTTCAAGAAAACGAAGAGCTCACGAATCTTACGACTGCCCAAGTGAAACGAGCTCTGGCTTCTTGGAATGCCACGGCGTATTCCATAAAACGGGGTGCGCCGCTGAAATCGTGGAGTCACACAATTTGGACCCACACGTGATCTCGCGGTTGGCGGGGCACGTCGACCCGTTCGACCTTCCCCAAGGCACAGTTCGGTATTTGGGGAATTGCAACACAGTGCTGACCCAGGTGTCGTCGTTGGTTGCATTGGTGTGAAGGGAGAAACGGCGGGAGGGCCGGAACCGTGGTTGAGAGCATAGAAGCGTTTTTCCATGATTTTAATCACAATCATGCTGCTAAAATAACGAGGCGCGCGACAAGGACGCGTTTGGCCACTCCACAAGAGGAACGAACCATCCCGTTACAGCAGGTCAACGTGCCCGTATTGAACCTGGAGTGGATTAAAAGTCGGTTGAATCCGGCCACCTTGGAGAGACTCATGCAAGTTTGGGGACTCGTCGGGCGGCTCACTTTCCCTCCGTCTTCCTCCGGTAAAGCGCGCAAAGGCTCACGGAGGATTCCAGCGGCTGACGCGCGATTGTCGAAGGGAAGCGTGAATAATCGAGGAGGCTTCGTCCACAATAACAGGCGTATGGATAATACCTTTTTCGGTTGTGGAGGAGAAACCCACCGGTTTACGACGACAATGGATCGCGTGGCCGCGCGACATGAAAATTGACGACCCTTACGAGGCTATTGTACCTTTTACACATTTCCCATTATTTGCCACCTGTGATGGCTGAGGCCGCTTCCTGCCTGGATGTGAAGTCGTCCTTCATAGTCTCTTTACCGCGGGAGACTCGGCATCTCTTTCGATGCCGCGTGGAGGACGGCACGCTGGTGGAGCTGACACGACTTTCAATGGGATACAAGGCCAGCCCAGAAATTCTCCAGATTGTTATTACCTCGGCAATTGCGGTGGTGACGACGGTGGTTCACCCCTCTGGGCCGCACCTCCAATGGTGCGTATCGAAGTATGGATCGATAATATACGCATTGCAGGGTCGAAAAGCGACGTGGCATTGTGGGAAGCCCAAGTGATGCGTAATGCGGACAGTTGTCACGCATCCTTGGGGGGACCGCGAATCGGGCGCTGCGAAGTACACCTTTCTGGGGGTACAATTTGATTACACTCACAAGGCGGTATCCCTGAGTGACAAGTTTGTCCGGTCTGTATGCGCCATGCCGGCGCTCAATTCTTCAACCATCGCGGAAATGGAGGTTACGGCGTCACACTTTTTGTATGCGGCGGCAATTTTGGGCACGCGTTTATTTGACTACTACCTTTTCATCAAGGCAGCGTGACGACGATTATCCGCACTTCACCGGGGGATTGTGCAGGAGACATCCCCGGCGAACCTTCCGCCGTCAGCGGTTGGCTTGGGCGAGAGATTACGACACATCATCGAGAATATAGCCGTAAGCGAATCATCAATTCCACGGAGAAGGCATCGGCCGCCATCATCACGGATGCATCGCTCCATGGATGGAGAGCCGTTTTAATTACAGACTTTGTCGACGTTAAAATTGCCGGATGAAATTGGGAGAGGAAGCCTTTTCTTATCATGCAGGCCGAGGCGCGCGCGGTGCGCTTAGCCTTATCGGCCTTTTCCGCCATCTTGCCATCTACCATGGACGTTTGGGTGGACAACACTTCGCTGCAAGGAGCGGCGAATAAAGGCAGCTCAAAATCACACGCCATGACGTGGGAGCTGCGACGGATATGTTTGTTTTTGGACTCTCGCGGAATACAGACATCCTTTGCATACGTGCGGTCTGCAGAAAACCCCGCAGACGGCATATCGCGCGGTCGTGTTTTTGCACTTCAGGACTTGGCGAGGGGGTGGAACTTGCGAAGGGGAGCGGCGGAGTCTTGTGGCTGGAGGAAACCAAAGTCTGCCACCTCGTAATTAATAATATTTTAAATCCTGAGGACAAAAGACCATGCGAATGATCAATAGAATTTAAATATCGAATGAAAGGAAAAGGTGGAGGCAATGAACCAACTCTGCGAAAATCGTTTCTCCTCCTACCTTGTTTCTTTAGATTATTTCAGGATCCGGTCAGCGGCCCGGGTGAATATCCCGATGAGTGCGACCCGGCCCGCCATCTTGTTCGTCAAATTCACCCGATCATAATATCTTCTTCTTTCAAACGCATCATTTTATTTGTAGTTTGTCAGGATGCCTATGCGTATTGGAAAAATATCTTGCCCACAAAGTTGCCTCATGCACCGCACGTCGTCCCTTGAGCGGCTTTCGCGCGATGGGAAGTTCCAATGGCGTTTTTCATTTGTGTTCGGACCTCGGGCGGCACAGAGGGGGGCGAGGGCAAATAAACAAACGACGCCATAATGTAACCGCCACTTTGCCCTAAAAAAAAGAACCCTATACTTTTCTTAGCGCGAGGTCAAACAAACAAAGAAAAAAAAAGGCAACTCTGAGCAGTCGGCGGGGATAACGGTAACGGTACCAAAAAGGGATTTATGTTTTGTTGTTGTTGTTTTCGTCTGTTCCCAGAGCGTGTTTCAAAAGTTACCCTTCTCTTATTTGCATTCCTTTCCCTAATGCCTGTTGGCGCGGCTTACTCTCTTCACATTTGGGTCTCGCGTGTTTCGCAGCGGACCTATTGTACCCGTATGGCTTTTTTTTTTTTTTTTGCTTTTCCCCACGCTTCGCAGAACTCACGCGCTCTTTTTTATCTCGGCATCGATGGCGGCGATGCGTTCGGCAATTGGCGGGTGCGTGTATTTCATCGCGGCGTATAAATTGTCCGGGGACACCTCGGACTTGTTTGTTTTTTGCATGATGAGGAGGCCCTTTCTCAGTGACATGCCGTAGCCTGATTCAACCGCGAATTTATCCGCCTGGAACTCGAGTTGGCGCGACAGGAGCGAGAAAGCATAACCGAAAAGTGTGAGCAGCGGCTCCGCGACGACGGAGAGGAACAGCGTGAATCCAACAAATGGATTCATTTGACGGAAACCAAATTCCTCATAAATCTCGGGGTTAAATATAACCGCCTTTGCTCCAAATGAAATGCAAAATAGCTGGGCAATACCAATGCCGAGAAGGATGATGGTGTGTGAATGCTTCCAATGCCCCAATTCATGGCACAGAAGGGATAAGATGAGGTCGTCATCCCCTTCCATCTGTTCAATGAGGGTGTCGTACAGGACAATCCGTTTGCTTTTCCAAAATCCATACACGTAGGCATTACTATGACTGGAACGACGTGAACCATCGACCTGATATAGCTTCTCCAGTGGAAATTGGTGCGACTTGGCAAGAATGGAAATCTTCTTGTACAATGCCGAGTCTTCGGATATGGGCGTATACGTGTTAAAGAGGGGCTGGATAAGAGTCGGATAGAGAAACGTGAAGGCCATCGCCAGACCTGTGGCCCCGAGAAATAAATAGAGAGGAAACCGGTCCCCAAATCTCCAAACGACCTGAAGAATCAACCCCGTGGTGAGGGGATGTAAGAGAAATACGCGAAGACACAATCCTTTTGCCGCATCTTTGAAAAACTCCTTTCGGGACGTCTTATTGAATCCGTGTTTTTCTTCAATAACAAACGTCTTGTAGTAATCAAAGGGAAGCGACATCAGGGTTGACGCGACATCCGTGGCCGCCGTCAGGGCGAAGCAGTGTGTGAATGAGCCTGCCGCCACAGGAAGCAATTTTGCCACCCAATCGAACGTCCTGGCGGAGAGTCTTATCAGAATCGCCACATTACCCAGAATGAGATCCCGGACATCGCAGCAAATGGCGAACGCCCCTTTATCTCTACCGTACGCCTGACTTTTTTGAAATTCCTCGTCCTCCACAATGCCCGCATGCGACTCCGGAAGTTCCTCGCGGAAAAATGATCTCCACTGGCGGTACTGGAGGTACAATTCCCACCCTGCGACCGCATTTGTTCCAATCAAAGCCGAAGCATAAAACGAGGGGCGCCCCGCAAGGTACATTTGACACGATTTGACTATCGACGCAGAACACTACAGGAGTTGTTTCACGTGAAAAAAGAGAGAAGAAACGGCGTCATCATCCCATCCGTCCAAGACCGCATGAAATCCGCAACAAAAAATCAAACCAACCTCGTATTGTTCACGGGTCAAAGCACACCACACACAAAAAAAAAAAAAAGTGATTGGAATCATCAAAAAAAGTAAATAAATAAATAAACAAACAACTCCAGCCGTACGCAAGTGAAGAAAAAGGAGAGAACGGGGCGATGAATAAGCACAGCGATTTGTGGCCGAAATGCATCAAACAGACGCAGCAGCAACCGTTGTGCCCAATGATGGAGGAGAAAAGAAAAGAGGGGCAGGTATCATCGTAAACACACAAACGGAAAACAACAACCGAAAAAAGGAAAGCAAAAAGAAAAAAAAAAACACTTTTTTTGCCCAGCACAATTTGCCCAAAACACGAGCAGAAAAGAATGGCCTGCCGCAAGCCCGTCCCGTCATGCATCGGTGTCTCTTCCCCTCTCATTTCACCGAATTCCTCCCCCAACAACAAAAGCGGAGAAGCAAAAGTAAAAAAAGGAACAGGGCCGGCTGTGCCTTATGAGCACCTCTATCATTATTATTATTTTGGTATTATTAAAGTCGTTATCATCATGCGTTTAAAAACATCATGAACCGAAAGAAGAGCGTGGACAAAAAGTGCACGCAAATGCACACATAGTAAGAAAAGAAAAGTCCATATATGCATATCTTAGCTCATCCCTGTGAACATCACCACACTACCCATCACCCCACCGATAAAACCAAGACCCAACATGACGAAAGCTATAAAGAGTTCCCATGATGATGCCGGAGCAATACCCAACGCATGTAATCGAATACGGAAAGTGGCAGGATATATAAAACAAAGGGTACTACTACAAAGACCTCCCAACAACGCGATAATAAACACAATCCCGGAGGCCTTCAAGGCCAATAACAGGCTAAGCGTGGACAACAAAAAGCTTGCTATCAGGTTATCCTTGGTCGATATAGCAGCATCAAAATAATCACAGGTAGTACTGCTGTATCCATACAATAATGTAAAGACAGCATCTCGAGAAGGAAACAGAACAAGAACATAGGCAATAATAACGGTAAAGGAATACATG